GTGCGGGAAAAAAGAAAAGAAAAACTAACTGATGTTGTTCAGATGTACTTAATCTTCCTTCAGAAGCAACACATCTTCTGTTATGCAGATCAAACTCGGATCCGTAAACAAACGGAACAGGTTGACAGAAGTGGAGAAACACAGTGGGTGTGTTTGCTCACAGCTTTTGCCATCAAACACACCGAGGAAACAGCAACCTGCAGGCTGCGCTTCCTGCTGTCTTTTAGGTGGTGAAAATCATTCACATCCCGAGTTGTGTCAAAGACAAAGACATCACACTTCCTTTTTCATTTATGTCTCTGGTTTGAGTGCAAAGCAGCCAAATGATGGTGACTGATGCACCAAAGTTTTTTTCCCAGTGACCACGTAGCCACACATTCAGTTGTTGACCTCTATCTTCTAATGTGTTTGCAAAATATTCTCTTTGCCGATTAGTCAAATCACAAGGTGTCAGTTGATGTGAATCCAACTGAAATGTGTCTTTAATGTTGCATGCTGCACCATCAGACGCGCTGCTGCACCATCAGACGCGCTGCTGCACCATCAGACGCGCTGCTGCACCATCAGAGCAGAAACAAAGGACAGCTTCCCTCTACATCTGCTCAAGGAAAACAGTGGAGAGTGAAAAAAATGACAATGATGCAGCAATAATTTATTAATGTTAAACTTCTAAATTTTATATGTGAATACTTGTGAGTATAGCAGAGGGAGGGATAGAATGGTTAAACTATTGTAACACTCTTTGGCTTAACTACATCACCAACCTTGCCTGTTATCTTTGAGCCTGTTTCCTGAGATGACAGTAGATATTACACAGATAGTTATGAAACATTTTAATCTAAAACAACAAAATAAAATGGTAAGTGCCAATGAGATGTCAGGATCCTGGGGTTCTGAAGTGCATACATCTGGTTTAAAGACAGCTACCTCTGAGGCGTGTTCAGGAAATTCGCTCATCCCACCAGTGGAATTAAAGAAGCACAAAACGAGAATGTTTATCTACAATAAAATCAATACATCTGCGTGAAGAGGATACATTTTAAAAAGTTATGACTTGATCAGAGTTGAAAGGATTCCCATAGCTGGTTAAATTTTGCATCCATGTCCCAATTCTGGTCAAATAACAGTATTTAATAAGCTGGAAAAGTTATTGATTTGAATAAGCCGATAAATAAATAAATTATTGCATCCACTCTATTTTTCATCATGGGATTCAGTGGTGAGTCACAGAAATATGAAAAGGTTTCAGAAGCATTCAAAACCATTATTTGATTTTTATTAGCTTTAAGAAATATATAATATCTTTGACACAGTAGGAGAACGCTCTATGAATCTATTTTGGAGGATCGCACCTTCTATTTTAAAAGTCTTGCAAGCCCAGGATTCCTTTTATACTAGGAGGCACTGGCGAAAGCACAGACTGAAATATGAGCATTGAAAAATGTCACTTAAAAATACTTCTTCAAAAAGAGGGGAGGAATAGACTAAATTCCTAATATATGAAGTTTCCTATACCTCTGTAACTCTGTCTCATATAGTTTTATATCCAGTTTATTTTATTGTTTTTCTTTGTTTTGTAGGTTTTCTTTAGTATTCTTGGGTTTTTGAATTTCTTTTATTTTGCATCAAGTCCATCATCATTCTGTGATTAGTCTTTAGGATTTGTAGTTTTTAGTTCTCACTACTTTTGTATTTTATTTTCTGTTAGTGTTCAGTTTGTTTATTTATTTAAGCCTTTGTGCTTTAGTTCATTCCAAGCTTGTATATGTTTGTATCTTATCAATTGGTTGTCTCTATGTTACATGTTTATATCTTATGTTACTTCCTGTCTTATTTTGATAGTCATTTGTGTTCTGCTCCTTACTTTTACTTGCCCATAGTCGTGTCCAAATTCGTGGGCTGCATCCTCCTGAGGACCTGGCCTTCGCGATCTATGTGGGCCGGGTCCTCAGAAGGTCAGGTAGGCTGGAAGTAAACGGCTGTGAAATTGGACGGTCTAGCCTTCAGATTTGCGTCACCACTGTCTCGGTGGAGTTTAATAAACTCAGCTGTCTGCTCCTTGCTATCTAAAATATAACAGGACACTGGTGTAAATTCTCGACCATCTCTCACTTCTGTTTAATCGGTTTTCTGTGTGATGTTTATTCAGCTGTGTGAAAACCACCCGGGGGATTAAAAAAGTTTTTTTTTTTTATCTAATCTAATAACTTTAATCTCAACCAAACTGATTTACTCACGAACAAATAAAACACTGAAAAAAGCCCAACAATAACATTTTTAGGTTGTCTAAGTGACTTATAAATTACGTTTAACCTGAGTAGCGAAAGACTGCGGTGATCTGAAAATGATGTGCCGGGAGTTTGTCGTTCTCGGCGGCTTCAGTGACCCTCGAGCCTCCGGCTAGCTATCGAGCTGGTGGATAACAGATGTCTCCGAAGATGTTTTGCAAACATGTGATATCTTGATAAAGTTTACACAGCTACATTCTCGCCTGAAAATATGTTAAAAGTTTATTTTGTGACCCAGAAAGAGTAATAAGAGTAATTTTAAAACGTAGTACCTGTCATGATCCGGAGTCTGTGTCTCTGTGTTTATGTTTTAGTTTATTATTATTCTGTGGTTTTGGTTACCTTGGGTGTTTGTACTCTTCTGTTTCATGGTTCATGTTCCTATGTTCTGTGTCCCCCAGTCTGTGTTAAGGTTGTGGGTTATGTCATTACGTGTATGTGTTTCCTGTTTTACTTTGAAGATCCGTGTATGATCTCAGTGTGTACAGTTTACTTTTCCCCTGTCTCGTCAGGTCGGATTACTCCCAGCTGTGCCCTCCTTTTGTGTCTCATTCGCTCGTTATCCTTCTGTGTATTTAAACCTTGTGTCTGCTTCTGTTAGTTGTTGGTTTGTTTGCGTTTCTCTCTCTGTCGTCCTTTGTGGTTTTTTCCTATGTTCTCCTCGTCTCCCTGCATCTCGGTTTCTTGTCTCAAGATTTCAGGTTTGTTTTTCCTTAGTTGTTCCCAGTTTAGGCTTTCTTAGTTTTAAGCTCACCCTCGCCATCTCTGTTTGTATCTACTTTTGCTAAATAAACTCATTTGCACCAGAGCTGCCGCATCTTGGGTCCTAAATAATTCACACACGGCTTGCCCCGGCAACCCGTGACAGTAGCGGCCAACATTGTTGAAAACTGGAATTGGCTGAGCAGCGCTATGAATTCTGGGATATGGTGGGCCACGAAGGACACACCGACCCATCCTTCAAATTCGGGGAAAATGAGGACGCATTTGTCGGCTGCATTCGAGTCTACGAATTTGGACAGCCTTTGTCGCGTCGCTGTGACGTAATCGGCCTACAAATGCGGCCTCAGGAGGATGCAGCCCATGAATTTGGACACCCCCATGTCTCATTTTCAGACTTGGTTCAGCTGTATCTTGTTCCCCTGGTGTTTCCACTCTGTCCTAATTAACTTAGTGTATAAATAGCCATATATTTCCTCTGACCTCTGTTAGATTTTTTGTGTTCCTTGCTTGGTTGTTGTCCCTCATGTGTGCTGGGTGGCTTTTGATTCTGCTGTTTATATTTGTTTTTTGGATTTGTGACGGACTTCTATAATCCAACTAACTTAGGTTCAGGTTTTTTTTTTATTAAGTTTTGCCTTGAAACCTTAATTTTTGTCCCTTTTCCACCACTTACAACATTGGTTATATTCTAGCCCAGGGGTGGGCATTTCCAGGCCTCGAGGGCCAGTGTCCTGCAGGTTTTAGATCTCACCTTGGGTCAACACACCTGAATCACATGATTAGTTCGTTACCAGGCCTCTGGAGAACTTTGGGACATGTTGAGGAGCTAATTTAGCCATTTAAATCAGCTGTGTTGGTCCAAGGACACATCTAAAACCTGCAGGGACACCGGCCCTTGAGGCCTGGAGTTGCCCACCCCTGTTCTAGTCCATGCTTTTCTAACTTCTAGCCTATACATAATAATGTCTTGTTATTAGCTTATTCTCAAAGCTCCCAGTGAAGTTATTCAGTTAAGTTTAAAAACCACACTGAGAGCACTAACAGGGATGAGGGAGAGAGATCATATTTCTCCTAAATGTCACTGCCAGATTTAATTTGTGAGTGGAAGGGATTCAAACTCTTGAATGATCAGCCCATAATATTTAGTCATAGTACATTATAAAAGAACACTTCATTCTCAAACTGCAGGCTTACTTGCAGGAGTTTCCAAAAATAAAATGGGAGGCTGAACTTTTAGCTATTGGTCGACTCTGCTGTGAAAACTATTCCTAGTTTGAGTTCAGGAAATTAGGCTTAAAACTTCTTGATTGAGTTTATAGTCAGGGCTGGGTCAGGCTGCGATAGACTGAAACTTCAGAGGGACTCTCAATGACTCTCAATTCTTTTTAACTCTGCATGCACTCTCTGCAACAACTGCATGTCATTACCTTTTGTCTACTCTGTCCTGTACAGAGGTATTGCTTTTCTTTCCTTTCTTTACCCCTAAGCCTCCACTGTGTGGGAGGGAGATGACTGCTGCTCCTTGAGCCTTGGTTCTTTCAGAGCTATCTTGCTCCCAAGCATCATGCTGTCCTTGTGCAAAAAGGACTGTTAAATCATTGGCATTAACTGTCTAATATTGTAGGTGTTAAGGGGCTTTTTACCATAATATAAGTGTTTGTGAATCTGTGCTATATAGAAAAAACTAAACTTTCGTTTATCTAGCTTCTTAACAACAGCTCCTTTTAGAGTTGCGCCCTCCAATTTCATATTGACAGTTGTACATGGGTTGCCGAAACACAGCAGTGGATGGAGTTGCTAAAATCTGCAGAATCGTTCATATCACACAGTTTCACACTTTCGTTTGATTAAGTATTATTATGAAAAGTAATGCCTACCTTCTGCCCTAAGTACAACACTTAGGGAAAACCATGTGGAAAGCTAATGGAGTTTGATTTATTGATCAAAAACATCTCAGCCAAGACAAATGCAGTAATTACTGTTACTCACCTTCTCTGCGGTTCAGCTTGGCAAAGCCAGGTCCATGGCTGCCGGATAACTGTGATGAGCTCCTGAACGATGATGGTGGCAGGTTGGATACCAGCGGACTGTGACACACCTCTGAGAATCAGAGAACACATAATTTAAAACAATAGGTGAGCATACACCTCGTCATTGTTGCAAATGTTAAACACAATAGAGATTAATGTTCATAATTATTGGGCTTTAAGCTGTGTAGTGTTCTCGCCATCTGACAAAACACCTTCATTTAACGTAATGGCCAACAGTGGAGTGGATCAGTCATGTCAGGTGAGGCTACTCATACTGTCTAATTCTTATCGACTATATTAAATTGATGCTGAGTGTAGTACGATACAACATTTAGCCTTTCTTTCAATTTACAGACTCAGCAGCATCTTTGAGCTTTACCAGCGACTCCATGATTACATGAATATACATAATTACATTTTTACGTTCATTTAAAAAACCACTGCAAGCACAAGTTCAAGGCAACATTTTGTCAGTTATAAGCAATAAAGAAAAGAAATATGCAGATTTTTGTGCATTCATGTCTGATAAACAGTTATTTAACAAACCAAAATGTTCAGTAATCTGCTGAAGTGACTAGAGGATTGGACTTCAGCTAAATCCTCCTTCTGCTAGATGATCTTTGTGGCCGGGAGCCAAATATCTTCGAGAGCTTGGAGAGAGATATCTCTTGGTGAGATTATATAAATGAAGCATCTTAAGCTTTGTTTAGTCAAGATTTAATCAGACTTGGCCTTCCTGCTTTGATATTGGATTTCTGCCTGTTCTGGGAAGTTACACAGAAAGTTTGACTTTGCTTTCACTTTCATCATTTTAATTGAGCTTAAACAACACGGTTAAACAGATTTTTGCAATGTAGAAAGTAAAGCATTAAAAATCAAGTACAAAATTACTCTGGATTATAAACAAACGTACTGACATTAAGGATAAAAATGACCAGAAGCTAAATACAATTGAACTTTTTGATAAAGCATAATAGGCATTTGTGTGTTTACACAGTTTAACGATTATTGGCATAAAATTTTTAAGATTCTACTTTGAAAGATCTACATCTGTGCACTTCATCTCCAAACAAAAGCACCTGTTTCTGGCAGCTGATAAAGGGGAGCAACTTAAAGATAATGCATAATTATAAAAATCTACTAATGTCTCCTTGATACTTGAATGGACATCCACAATTGTCTACAGTCAGGTGTATAAAAATGAATCTTTTGAAGTTGGATGGCTGATTTTGAACAATAAATGATCGGTTCCTGTTCCTATGACAATTTATGTTTTGCAATATATTTTTAGTTTTTCACCCCACCCCTTCCTGAATGAAAGTGCCATCTAGTCTATCTTTTCAATTATCAACTGAGAGAGGTGAAGCTGACAGCTGCATTTTTCATCCCCTTTCAATGTATATAAAAAAGACACTTATAGTCTGGACTTGAAAATTAAGGTGTAAACAGATCTTCTTTTGGTGAAACACTGAAGATTTAAACCGTACATATGTTTAGGTATACCATGGTGTTTGTGCCATTGCCTACACAAAACAAAATACCTATATAGATTTCCAAGAATGCCAAGGTTGGAAATTAATATGAAAGAGAGGTATAATGTGTACTGTTTGTGGCTTTGTGTGTCTAAAATTATGCAGAGATAAGAAATAAAGTTTTCATGAGTGAGAGATCATTTGATTGAGTTATTACGTGGTCCGTTCCCATTTCTGTGTTGCTGTCAAAGCTAATTTTGAATACAAGGTGTCCTTTAGCGGCAGTGTGTAGCGATAGTGAGATGGATAGCTCACTTCCAACTAGTCACATATGGCTGCTTTCCTGATTTTTTTCAAACATTTAAGTTAAACCAGACCACATAGTTTTAGCTAGTTTTAAGTAAATAAAAGAAACTTGCAACACAAACGTCCAAACAGGACATTAACCACAACACCCTGCTAACTTCCAAATCTAGACTTTGTGCCTTAAAACACAACTGTTTTAATTTCTCAGGAAAAATATTGCTGCATTAAGTGCATCAAGGACTAAAAGCAAAGGTGACCTTCTACATAGTGAGACAGGTATTTCACAAATAGGCAGAATGTGATGATGCAGGATGACTAGGCGTTGGTTGTATTTCCAGCAAACATATGTGATAAAGATATATTAATTCAAAACTGCAATAATAATAAACAGTATCTTTGAATATATTGTTCGAACTCCTATGAAACATTATAATACAAGATATTTCAGGCTTTCTTGAATGTCAACATTTTAATGATTTAAAATATATTTGAAATTTCTCGTGTCCATTTAAAGAGAACTTCGAGACCTTGTTCTTATTTATTTTGTTCAGTGTCCAGTTATTCATTCATTACACATATTTGAAATGCAGCTTTTGTGTGTTGAAATTAAAGACCTTCACTGAGTTCACCTATGCACATTTAGCAACAGAAAGCACAGGATAAAGCCATACGCTGAGGAGTGCGATGCTTCTGAAACTGGACCACGTTTCCTGGTTCCACTTCTTGAAAAGGGTGACCACTGTCCGGCGTCAATACAGAGGCACTATCCCTAACGTCTATCTGACGCTGCAGTGGTGTGTCAGTCAACTTTAAGAAACCCAAAGCAAAGCTTTGTCACTTTTTGGCTGCTTCAGTGACCTCGGCCACCCTGATAAGTGAGTCATCCCCATTGTCCCCTGCTCTGCTTCTACTTTGAGGATCTCCTCAATTCCTCTCACACTCTTTAAAGTATTCTTTGCAACGACTGACTATAACCTCAGTTAAGGTCAGCAACACTCTGTCCCCACTGTATACACGTTGAAAAGGAGGTTGCTTGCCCTTCTGCAGTTACCTGACTGTTTCTCAGAAGTGCCTTGATGTTGGCTGAAAGTCTTGCTCGATGGCCTAGCCAAACTCCTCCTACATCCAAGTTTTTGCTTCACGTACTGCAAGGACCTCACTCCAACTGTCCTTTTTGTACCTGTCAGCTGCCTCCAGAGTGTCACAACCTAACAAAGCCCAATAGAACTCCTTCTTCTGCTTGTTTCACACTCATGTATATGAAGCTAAACCTGTGGATTGATAAAGGTGGTTATTTTTTTTCCGAATTGGATTCTAATGGTTTTAATACCTTTTAAGGGCTTCTCTTAAGAAAACTTAAGTTTAACTAACTTTAACTATTAGGTCTGCACTCACTCAATCACAACATTTTATAGGTCCAGTAGCTGGTATTGTTAGCTGTGAAGCTGCATAGACAATCACAGAATTGTGCATAATGAATTAAGCTGGCTCTGAACACTTACTGCTTACTCAACTGGAGCTCAGTTTCTCGTGGAAGAGTTAAGACATAAAACAGAGACCACACAGTACAATTAAATTCTCTGGTACTCATTCTGTTTGCTCCATGTTGCTTTTTTGGTTATTTGTTTCCAGCCCATATTTTTAAGACCATGTAGAAGCAGACAGTGTAGGCTCTCAGAGGACTGGGTGTTAGGGCTAGTAATGGAGTGCTAGCTTGACAGCCCTCAGCCTAAATAGTGATATTGTGAATCATTAGCCCTGACAGCTCTTATATTCAAAGCTCCTGTGACTTTGAGAGTGCTATAAAAAGAGAACCCCTCCCAGTGCTCTGCACGCCCATGGCATGTATGAAATAAATATATATCCAAAAGAATGAACGTTACACACATTCTCTCATGCATCCTGCCATCGTGTTGTCTCACCAAATGGAGTCAACTTTACTCTGTCAGTGAAATAGCAGAAGCATTCATGAGTGGCTTCACCTAAATGAACAAGAGCTGTCAGATTTATTGGTATGGAGCTCCTTAATGATACTGGACTCTCAATACAGTGGTGCTTAATGTCTAACTGACTTTATTTTCTAGCCAGTAATGCCCAGCAAAAAAATATTAGAGCCTCAAACGCAAATATTCCTCAATCCTCCAACAAGAAGGTGCAAGTTAAGCTCACTGGGATGAGCAGGCGGGTTCGAGTCCGACCTGTGGCCCTTTGCCGCATGTCATTCCCTCTGCTTTCCTGTCTCTCTTCACTGTACCCTTTTAAATAAAGCTGGAAAAAGGCGAAAAATTGGTTTTTAAATAAATCCTCCAACAAAAATTGTAAGCACTTATTGCAAATACAACAGTTTATGTTTCAGTAATACACACTAGGAAGTTGTTTCCATTAGCAGGGTAAGAGTTCTGTAGCATGACCACAAACAATAACACCTGTGTTTTTTTTACTGCCATTGGAGTTATTAAAGTTTTGGTGTAACATACGGACATCCAGAGAAAGAGCTGTCCACTCACCTTTACATTTTCTTTAATCACAGGATACCAAAAGTATACAAAGAAAAAGCAAAATATTTCTGGGGATAACATTTAATCATTTGGTACATTATTTATTTCGGATTTTGCAATGCCAGGCTGTCTTGCATTGCTTAGGGGCAGATGTTGAAAAAATTACTAGATGATAAATTATTATACAGATAATAGTGGAGTGGATCACTGTGAATTATGTGCACCAGAGACCATTTTGCAGTGACATCACACCGGCAGCAATGCCCATTACGATGTTTATATTTCTATTTGTGAGCACCTAAGGACTACTTGTATTGACAAATCTGTCCAAAGAGAGAGACACCGACTTATAAACACCTGTTGAACTACTTAAATCCATCCTTGTGGTACTTCCCACTACAGTTGGGATCTCAGGACCGCATTTTTTCATGATGGCGCGCATACACAGACCCAATTAATGTGCGTCTTCGGTTGTGTTTTAATTTAAAATAAGCTTCGTAATGTCACGTTTTTGCTAGTATATAGGTAGCAGAATGGAGCATTTCATCGGGGAGATCTCTCTTCTGCTCTGACTTGCCTGCCTTCATTCCAGCATGTATCTCTGGCTTGACACAGGAGGCTGCCTATTGAATAGCTCCTGAGCTGCGACTGAATGCTAAAAAAAAATGTTTCCAGTCCTGCCTTGTTATAAACACCTCTGGCATGCTGGTATTGTTTGAAACAGATGCTTATCCACTCAAAAACTGCCAGTCAGTAGCTCAGTTCACTGTCAAACACAGTATCCAGTGCAAGTC